CTACAGATCGATCACACCCTTTTTAAACTCCTAGGTACAACTCTCGGTTATATTTCAAATGGTTTGCTAAAGAGTGTGAAATACCGTATTTTTCAGAGTATAAGACGCACCCAGATTTTCAGCCTCTTCTTTGAGGGAAAAGGGTGCGTCTTATACTCTGAAAAATACGGTATTTCACACTCTTTAGCAAACCATTTGAAATATAACCGAGAGTTGTACCTAGGAGTTTAAAAAGGGCGTGATCGATCTGTAGTCATGACTCATTTCAGATTTAAAGCCATGGGGTGGAACTGGTGGCGCCAGAGCAGACCTACCATTTGTCACTCAATCTCAACAGCTTTTAAGATGGGTGGACTTCAACTCCCAGAATTCCTCAGCCTGAATTCTGGAAGTTGGAGTCTACGTACGTTTATTTAACAGATTAGCAGAAATATAGAGCTGGAAGGGATCTTGGAGGCCTTCTAGTCCAACCCACTGCTCAGGCAGGAGATCCTACATCCATGGTGACGAACCTATGGCACGCTTCCCCGAAGAGGCATGCGGAGACATGTCGCCTGGCACATGCGGCGTTCTTCCGGATTTCTGGTGCGCATGCGCATGTGATGATCAGCTAGCCTTTGTGCGTGCGGCAATGCTGGAAACAGGAGGCCTTCTAGGCCCAAAATTGGGTGCCATGTAAGGCCGCCCCACGCTCCCTTTTGGGCCCGGAAAGCTTCCTGCACCAACCTGGAAGCCAAAACTAAGTGAGGGGGTGGGTGGGGCGCATGCACGGGGGGGGAGTGCAGGGGGGGTTGCATGCACAGGGCAGGGTGCACACGGTGGGATCATGTGTGCATGCACGGAGGGGCGGGCAAACAGGTGGGGTTGCACACACATTGCATTACCGTGTTTTCCCGGAAACAAGACAGGGTCTTATTCTCTTTTGACCCCCGAAATAAGCACTTGGCCTTATATTCAGGGAGGTCTTATTATTTTTGAGGTGCAGGAGGCGGTGAGCGTGGTCACTCACGGCTGCTGCTGCGTTGCAATATTTTCAGGGAGGGCTTATTATTTTTGAGGTGCAAGAGGTGGCGAGCATGGTCACCTCATGGCTGCTGCTGCGTTGCAATATTTTCAGGGAGATCTGATTATTTTTGAGGTGCAGGAGGCGGTGAGCGTGATCACCTCATGGATGCTGCTGCGTTGCAATATTTTCGGGGAGGGCTTATTTTCGGGGGAGGGCTTATTGTAGGGCATGCGCTCAAAAGCCCGATTGGGCTTATTATCCGGGGAGGTCTTGTTTTCAGAGAAACAGAGCATGGATGTGGGCGCGCATGCNCAGAATTGGACTGGGGGCTTCTGGCTAGGTCCTTTGTGGCTCTTTGAGTGTTTAAGGTTGCCGACACCTGTGTTAGGGACTCAAGAAAAAATATGTTTCCCTGATTTATAATAAGATGAGTTAGGGCTTTAATTTGTTAAAAAAAATATTGCTTTAGTTGCATTATGACAGATTTTCCCTAAGTTGCTGCATCATAATTGTGCGTCATAGTGGTGTCATAATTTGCAAAAGCTGTAATTCTCTGCCTTCAGTCAAACTAGAATTAGAATATTTTATTGGACCCAAGGAATTCTGGGGATTCCAATCAAAACACATCTGGATTGTGACTGGTAGTGGAGATTTCTGCTAGTTCTGCTTTTGGAAGACTTTGAATTATCCCAGTTCAGTTCTCTTGTGTTTTTTATTATTGACTATAATTTATATATAAGGGACATAGCATAAGATGCTAAGCTTGTCAATCAGAAGAGTTGGCAGTGGATGACAGATTAGGAACAGTTACCTTAGAAAACTCACCCAAGTTATATTAAAGCAATGCAGAGGCAGTTTTAATGAACAGAACAGAGTTGAGATGTGTCAGCCTGTTATCCTACAACAATAATTCTATTAAACATTGTTCCTTGAATTGAATGTGTCATTTGGGATATGTCACAGAGTGCTTGCCACTCCATTAAAACAGACTTCCTCTTAGACAGTCTGAGAAAAAGAGATGACAATTTAAAAGGACATAAAGTAGACATTAAGGGACGTGATGGCTCAGTGGCTAAGACGCTGAGCTTGTCAATCAGAAAGGTTGGCAGTTCGGCGGTTCGAATCCCTAGCGAGCTCCCGTGACTTGTCCCAGCT